TACCACGACTGCTGCGTAGATACAAACAAGACTGTGAACTCGGCATGCATTATTAATCTATATGATGCTTTAATATTCTTTATAACGAGGGTGTGTGAGGAGATAAAACGCGAGCATTAGCAGCTTTTGCTCCCTTCCTGCATGTCACGCGTGGGCCTTCGCTTCCTTTTGTTCACTTCTGTCTCTTCTGACACGCAGCCTGGCGTTAAACAGAGCGAGAGAGAGGCCTGTGTGTGTGTGTGTGTGTGCTCGAACACTTCCAGCATTTCAACTGTTAGCAGCAGCGTCTGACTCCTGACTGACAGGTCGACACGGCAGCGCTACTCTACATGCTTTCATGGCATCATGTATGTTGTGTGGGTCTGTGGGGAATGCTTTGAGCGCCTGGAGAGCTTCGAGCACTGTCAAGGCTCACTAAGAGCCACAGAGGTGATCGAGGCTAAGTAAAAAACCTTAAAATACACCAGCATCAGTTGTGCTTTTGTTTTGTGTTTTTTTTTTTCACCGAAGGGAAAGAGGTCTCACCGAGGGTCTCCGTTCCCAGGAGAGCCTGCGATGATAAGAGATGTGGCTTTCGGAAATAAAAGAGCGCTTTTTACATGACTTGATGTGTGTTGCTTTCAAAGCACGAGCTACAAATTTGCACATGGTTTGTGACATATCATCATCACACACAATAGATGATTCAATATAACCAATACAAATATGCTGGAATTGTTTGGAAACCTGTGGAAATTTAAAACAAAGAAAATAAAAATACACGCATAATCTGTATAAAGTCACATGCGTAGCTGTAGGGCCATGTTTCATGTATATGATTTAGGGTTGTCAAACGATTAATCGCATCCAAAATAAAAGTTTGTGTTTACATAATAAATGTGGGTGCACTGTGTATAATTATATAAATACACACACATGCATGTATATTTAAGAAAAAAAATTATTTATAAATAAAATATTTATATTTACATATCATATAAATTATATATATATATATATATAAATACACATTATATACATGAAAATATTTCTTAAATATATACAAGCATGTGTGTGTATTTATATATACAAAATAATTATACACATTACACTTACATATATTATGTAAACACAAACTTTTATTTTGGATGTGATTAATCGTGATTAATCGTTTGACAGCTCTAATATGATTTTTTTTTTTTTTATGGAATAAGGCATCCAACCCCCATTCAATCATTATATTGTAATGCCAAAAACACTTTATTATTATTATTTAAATTGTAAACAGTTTTTTGTACCACCTTTTATTTGATTGATTTGCTGATTACAACACAAAAGTCATTGCATTACAGTAATCAGAATTTATTGTGCTTGATTATCAAAATATTAATATCACAAAGGCCTAATTTTTAATGCTTTTTACGCTTTTTTTATATTTAAAAAAAAGGTGGAATATGACCTGAAATGTGTTCCACAATAATCCTTCGTGTTTCTAACTGTTTTTATCATCCGCCGACCTTGACATCATACTATGAGACATTAATATTTGATAACGGTGTCCTAGACACCATTATATGATCATATTCAACCCATGAAGGGTTCCTAATGTAGAACAAAGGAAAACCTGGTTATGTTCTAGTTATTTGTAGGCAATAATCCTTATAGTTTTAAGAGGTTTCACAATAGTAGAATATTGTTTGTAGTCAAAGTAATTTGTGTGGTTTGATGATTACATTTCAGGCCTCTGCATCCAACGTTTTCCTCTGAAGATGAATAAAACATATCGGGTAAAGGTTACACATTACAATATCTCTCTGCAATAGGATATTGATTCTATAAAAATGAAATAAATAAATAAACGATCCAGCGAATCCCTTCCAAATCATCCATTTATGAAAGCAATTTAACAGAAGCCAAGCCACCAGTGCATGAATGCATATTAAGCGTCTATGAGAGCATTGTCGGACGTGGTTTTAAATGGATGGATCTTAAGATTTAGGACAAAGGGCTTCCGTGAAAGTCTGAATGAGGCAACCGTGAGGACACAATGAATCAGTGCCCCACATTCATGACTCCGAGACTCTCTTTAACAGATATAATGCAGACACCTCCACGGCTCTTTATTCTTTCCCACAATGTGCAGCTTTCAGTCCATTCATAAACAGGAAACATCAAAAGATTAGGCCGAAAGATGTAGATATCTCAACGCTGCAAAATGGCCACATACACACACAGGTCACCCGTGTGGTGCATTTACACTTTTCGCTCCCTTTAACCGCATTCAGAGAGTTACGCCCTTTATTGACGGGGGTTTCGATAATGCGCCGTTATCAAGCAAAGTATCTTTAAGTGAGTGCAGAGGTAGCAAATTTGACTCATTAAAGGAGCATAAAATTGTGTCTTTGTGCATGACCTTTTGTTCAGCATCTTTGGAGAATTCTGTTACTAAAGAGAGCAGTTTTTTGAGAGGAGAGAGGAAAGACTCCACGAGTATTGGGTTCCCATTGGGAACAATGCCGACAGGTTCACCTTGCAGAGCATGGGTGTAACTTAGCCTAGAATATTGTGGATCAAAGCCTCATAAACAAAGTAGGTGGAAATGGTGTAAGAGTATATGAGATCCAGAAAAGAACACAGCCATGAAAGAGACGGGCCTAAACTTCAGGAAGAGGCAGAGGAAAGATGGAAATGCTGTTGTCACTGCTGGGTTTCGGCCTTTAGACTCTTGAACTGAACAGGCAACAGTTTCCTGTTTAGGAGATTCTCAAGTCTAAGGGTCTGCTTACAACAGTTTTAATCACCAGACAATGGCAATGTTCGGAAAAGCAATACTATTTCGACAGTATAGAATGCACATTTTCAGTATGCATAAATCAGTGCAATCTAAACAATGCCGGGTTGTTTTAACCCACATTTGGGTCAAATATGGACAAACCAAAATTTTGGGTTAAAAATGTCATTATTTTTTTTTTTTAATCCAACTTTTTACTTTCAATGGTAATTACATTTTTAACCCAACATTTGGATTTGTTGACCCAAATTTGGGTTGAAACAACCCAGCATTGTGGGATGCAGCCCCCCAAAAAGTTTTTGATCATGTAATGTAATGGATAAAATGTATCCATTTTTTAATTGTAAAGGAATGGCATTTACATGCAACATGATGAAGTCATGTGACGACAATGTAGTATACAATGACTGTCCGATTTAGCGTACTTTCTTGAGTATACGTATTTTAAATAAGTCATTATTTTGTGACTGCTAAAAATGTATATATGAATATGTGAATGTAATCTGTATTTGCCATGTTATCATTATCATGTGACCTTTACCAGCATCAAATCCTCTCCTGTGGGCTGTATATATATACACAAACCCAAATGTTGGGTAAAAAATGCAATTAAAAAATGTACAGTTGTAAGTGAAAGTTGAAGTTGGCTTAAAATTTGAAATTACATTTTTAACCCAACATTTGGGTTTGTCCATATTTGACCCAAATTTGGGTTCAAACAACCCAACATTGTTTAGAGTATATATATATATATATATATACACACACACACACACGCTGACAGTAAAGTGTCCATCATATACACACTTCAGAATCTCATATATATGTATATATATATATATATATATATATATATTATATATATATTTTTTTTTTTTTGAAATTCTGTCTAAATCTAATATGGCACCCTTTAGCATCAATATAACACGTACAGAGCTTTATTCGGTTTAGTTCTGGTAAAGGGTTAGGGTTAGACCACTAGGAGGCGCCTTCTGGCCCATATATATCTGCGTCTCATATTGACGCTAAAGGGTGCCATGTGCGTTGGATGTCAGCCCATTCTCACTCCAAGGCGTCACCTAACTGACGCCTTGGGACAGCATTTGGACATGCTTCAATATCGGTACTTTTATTTCCAGTGCAATGGATGCATGTGAAGTAATTAGTGCAATTATGTTTAACATCTCTTTTTTATTAGTTGCCACCAATCACATGCACTTTTTTGCATTATTTAAAAAAAAATAATAATACAATGGGTGTAATTCCTACTCAGCAAGCTAGTCAGATTCTTCAGATAATTACAATGTGTTTTTGAGAGGTTCTTGAATGGCTTTATGCACAGCTGCACTACGTCCTGAAGGTAAGCCAGCTCCTTGTTTCCTGTCTGCAATTATTGGCCGAACTTGATTAATTCAGGTGTGTCTGATTATTGTTGCCATGACGACTGAGGTCAGGCACACCTGGATTAATCAATGTGTCCAATAATGGCAGACAGGAAACAAGGAGCGAGTGCAGCTGTGCATAAAGCCAATTGTTCTTAAAGGCATCGCTGTGAAAATACCCTTTTGCAACTTTACTTTTGAGAGCACATTCCATTACGAACAATATTAGTTTCATCATTAATACTCATAATCAAGAAAGCAACGGTCAGCACGTCGGAACGCTCGATTGGTTTTCCTCCTCCCTGTCCCTGCTGACGACGAACGAGAAGTAGAAAATTTCCC